TTCCGATGGCCCTGCAGGAGGGATGCGGTAGGACTGGTGGCAGCATGATGCCACAGGGCAGGTGCAGTGGTGACTCACCTCTGTCCAGGGGCTGGCAGATGTGCTGGCTGAGGACAGGAAGCCCAGGTCCAGGCTGGCCGAGGAGTTGAGTGAGCCCTGGGACTCCCGCCACAGCACAGTGCTCCCACTGCCTTCTCCCCCCTCTAGGACAGACAGAGGGACAGTGGTGGGGACCATGGGCACCCTTCAGAGGTGGCACTGACCCAGTTGCCCTGAGTGGTGCCTACCTGCCCAGGAGGGTTCCCGCCGCTCTCCTTTCCTGAAGGACCGGCGAGGGCTGCGGTTGGCACCACTGCCTGCCATCTCCACACCCAGTGGCAAGGACTTGCCCAGCTTCAGCTTCGACTTCTGAGGTGAACCAAGAAACATCTCAGTATGGAGACAACTAAGGCTGCTCCTTCTCTTTCCCCGGTCTCCCAAACCACTTGTCCATCCTCAGCTGGTGGTTAGGTTTGCTCCAAAGAGCAGGGAAGAGAGCCAGCACTTTTTTCTCAGGCCAAGGGACAGGTCCCTGTCCCCCCCTTTCCATCCCACTCACCTTGCTGAGGTCAGGTGGGGGGCTGCTGCTGCGGGAGTGGGGCCTCAGGTCAGGCAGGGGCTGACCCTGGCTCTCTGCCCGCAGGCAGGCCTGGTAGAGCGGGGATTTCACGAACCGTGTGTAGCTGTCAAACTTCATCAGGTTAAAGATCTGCAAAGGGAAGATGTGTGTGCTTAAGACCCCTGCCACCTACAGCTCACTCCAGCCACTGCCCTGCAGCCCAGCCCTGTGGTGACAGTAATGCTGGGTGACGTGCAGGGTGGTCCTGCAGCCCACCTCCCACGGGTGGGGTGAAGCATGGGTGCTGCTCATACCTGGAGCTGCTGGACACGAAACATGTCTGGGGAAGGGGTGGCCAGCATGTCCTCCCCAATCCAGGCCTGCTTGTCAATGTTCACAGGACTGACCGAGTGGCTGGAGAGGAACTCATCGTAGATCCGCCGTGCCTCCTGGGCCAGCTGGAGAAGCAGAGGGGTCAGGGTGGGACCAGGAGCCCCCTCCTCACTGCAGCCCTGCAGGGAGTCCCTGGCTCATCCCATGAAACCACTTGACCCTGAGGGGCCAAGTCCCCCTTGAGACCAGCTTGGTACCTGGGCTTCAGGATAGGTATCAGAGCCAGCTGCTCCCACCCAGCGCCAAGCATGCCAGTTTCTCCACAGAGGTACAGCCAGAGGTAGGAACCATCCCCCAGCCACATGACTCCACCCCCACAAGCCCCCATCTAGCTCTCTGCCCTTGTTCTCTTTTCTCCTCCCAGCCACATGCTTCACCCTTTGGCCACCTCAGGCTGAAGAAGCACATCCTGCTCCATGGGCTGTAGCTTTTCAGATGCACATCACATCCATCTCCTTGTGCCTCCTGCAGGAGACCACAGCCTGCTCAGCCTTCCATTACAGGGATCTGCCAGGACCCTGGGACCCACAGGCACAACACCCACTTCCACCTCTGCCCATATCCCAGTGGGCAGCTGCACAACCCTGGCTCAACTGCACCACGGCTGTGTGGAGGCCGGTACCTGCTGCGTGTCACTGGCTGGGATCTGCTGGAAGCGCTCACATGCCTGCCAGAAGTAGACATTTTCAGCACTGAACTCCTTCTTGAGGAACTCCTGTGGGGCAGAGAGAGCTGCTGGGCTGGGCGGCACTAGGGCTGTGGGACGGCTCGGTTGCCGATGACCAGGAGCCGATGGTAACGAGGCCTGAGGTCTGGGCTGTAGCCATCACAGTG